GCCGCGTGTTGGGCTGAATGATATGCTAGCCGCATATTGGGCTAAATGCAATGTCGCATGTTGGGCATAAATGAAATGCTAGCCGCGTGTTGGGCATAAATGAGATGCTAGCCGAATGTTGGGCTAAATGAGATGCAAGCCGAATGTTGGGCTAAATGAGATGCAAGCCGCTTGTTGGGCTAAATGGGATGAAAAATGCTCAAATGTTTGCACAAAAAGCTATGTGAAAAGTCAACAAAAGTAATAAAATGTCATGGTAGTAGAGAAATGTAATAGAATGGTTATTTGGCAAGAAAATGAAATGGAATGTTATGTTGATATGTCATGTTGGTACAGAAATGTTATGGAATGCTTATTTGGTAAGAAATGTAATGATTAAGAAAATTGTCCTGGAAAATGAATTGAAAAATTGCCTTTTATAGAAATGCTTTTGGAAATGTCATGAAGGAGTTTGAAGATGGTTTTACCTTGTGATCTCGAGATGCAAATTTATTGGAAAAAGAATTTACCTCGGGTTGCAATTGCCCCTCAATTTGAAGTTTGTATTGCATGCTTGCATCTATAATTGACTCAATCATATCACCAACAAAAGCTAGATTTTCTGAATACATCATATGTCAACTGTTCAAAATGATCATACATGACAACAATTAAGTTCACTCCCTTGGGATTCTTGTTGCTTTGACTCCATGTGAGTTATCTCTACTTTCTTTATAAGTAGCATGAATAAAACAAAAGCCCCTTTTTTTTTTCTTTTTTTTTTTATTATGAGGATACGATGATAAGAACAAAAAGAGATGGAATTGATAGGTATGAATGGATGACATGATTAAGATGAAAGAAATGGAATTCTTGACAAAAAGATGAAAGGTTTGAAATTCTTGACAGAGAAGAAGAATCTTTTCCTTGCTGTCTCAACAAATTATAATCATTTCTTTCATAAAATATAAAGGTGATATCTTTAACTCATGGATCATTGAATCATTTAAATGGCTCAGCTTCAAATTTCTCAATTTTTTGCCCCCCAGCTTTTTAAGGCAATCATATATTTTTATCACTCAAACCACATTGGAATTTCAAAAGCTTTCAGATCCTCTGATAAGGACTTTATTCAGCTTGTAACGTGGTCATTGGCTTGGTTAATTTGAAAGAAAGGATAATAAGCTCAAAATGCCCTCCATGCTATCTTTGGCTTAGTGATTGTAATCATCAAAATATTTAAAGTTTCAAAACTTTCAAAAAGGACTTTTGCTTTGGGTTGTAACGTGGTTTGGGGTATGGTTTTTGAAAGAATGGTCATTAAAGCTCAAATCCCCAATTTGCCCCCAAATTACATGCCTTTGCTA